TGGCTCACATTCTAATGGTTTATTTTAAAATAAATTCCTGACCAACTGTTTAGTTAGTTACTTTTTTTAACTTAATATGGCATCTGGTGGAACAGGAAATTACCTAGGTGTACAATTTAATAAAACAAATTCAAGTTAATCAGATTTTTTCACTTTACTCTATTAGAAGACATCCAAAAATAGTTTTCTGGCTGGTAAGATCAAGGCGAAGCTTTTCCAATGACACATACTTGGGTCAGTAATCCTAGAACTAAGCCTATCGACTGCAGTGACCATATGACCTCTAACCACATAAGAATAAATATTTCCATTTTAGAGCTCACATGTGTTTTAATCTCAGGAAATTCCTACTAGATTTTAACATAATATGTTTTAGAAAACTCCACAACTGAAATGTGACATATTAAAATATTTTATCCGTGCTATCTTTTAGCATACTAAAAGTTATTCTTTTCTATCAAAATTCAGAATAAGTACAGGATTATTTTAATTGTACTTTTCACAAACATTACAAGTGTTAAAACTGAACCCTGAGAACAGAACTGCCTGCAGCCTCACCATATAATGCCGACCCTAGTTCATAGCTGCCATTGTGGCCTTTTCTACTGCACTCTCTTGAAATTCCACTTGGCCACTCATTTTAGTGGGAAATACACACTATAATTGGCATTCAGAGAAGGAGAATAAGAGAGCACTTACGGTCTGAGATGACACAACCATATATTTTTGTTCTACTAACAGATCTAAAGGTCTGTAATTATCTGTAGATGTATCTGTAGATATATTAAAGACAGTATAGTTAAACAAAATCTTAATGTCAATCATTACTATACTATTTTTGAGACAAAAACGTAGTAACAGCTTCGAGAAGACCAACCAAAAGAACTGAAAGTTTAAAAATAATGTCCAGATGTTAACTAATTTGTCACTGGACAAACTGCCTACAAGAAACTGATCAACTGCGTCTGTAACAAGAATCTACCTGCCAGCAGCTAACATCACAACCCTAGGCTTGGTGTTTACTTTCTGGCAAGGGTCAAGCAATGTCACGGAAAAAGTGCCAGATGCCAGGATGCCATGTAAAAGAAGAAAGCAGGCCACACTCAAATACCCCAAACCCCAAGCTGTTCTTAAAACTTCTCAAATTACACACATACACACAGAATCATGTCACCAAGACATTAAGAGACAACAGGTGGTTCTGGTCTTTGTCATAACTTTGACCAGTGGAATTCTTTCTCTTAATTGTTAAGGTAACATTTATCTCAGTTTTATATAATGCATAGCTATATTGGTTTTATAGAATTACAACATATACTGCAGCTGACTTCCACTATTATTTATAACATGTGATGTATATCACATTTCCAAATACTACTTCTGCTCTTGAAATCAGTACTGTTTACTGAATCCAAGAAGTGCAATAAGGACCAAGAAAATGATCCAAGATCATTGAGGGATAACAAGTACAACTGAGGGTAAAAACTAAATTTCTTGATTCTTAAGTTGGTGTGTCTTTCATTAATCACATTTTCCCCAGTGAAAAAATTTCATTTATAAAAATACAAAATTCTTACTTGATTTGAGTATCAAGTTTCTGATAGCAGATTCCCCAAATAATCTACTGAAAAAGGCCATGTGCCTTGATGATTTAAAAAAACTAATAAAATTTATTGAAGCATATACAGCAAAGTTATCACCAAACTAAACTACATAAAAATAAACTTGGTAATACTAAAATATAAGATACAACTAACTCTGGTAATGTTAACTGGAAAAGACAGCAAGTAGTTTATCTCCAATTTTCTTTTGCCAAATTTATCTTCTATAACAAAATCCAGTAATTTTGATGATGAGATTGCCTATTAACTTGGGGGAATGAAACTAAAACCCTCAAGGATTCACAAACTAGAGAGAGTAGCTGGCTGCCTGCTCTGTCACGAATTTAAATAAAATACCTACCCTCAAGAAGTCTCTCAAGTGTCTTCTGACTCTGCTGTCAGGTAAAACTGATTACTATAGTTGAAATTTAATATAATTATCTCACATTAAGGTATATATATTCACATAATTTGTATGTAAATATACATTTATACATTCATGGTTTATACATTTAAAAGATGAGGTTACTAAATTTTTTAATGTAAAAGGAATTTTGAACTAAAAATTAGAAAACAAAATCCTAGATGCCTTTGGCATATCTAAAGCACTGTTATATTTCCCAGTAGGAAGATTATATACTATATATTTAATGTATAAAATTAACAAGATTCAGAAAATAAGAAAAGTTGAAATCACACATTATTTCTCGAAACACATTTCAGTATATTTTGCTATGATATATGGTATATACGATTAAATGGAAAACCAAAAGACTTCAATTGAAGAAATGTAACTGGGAAGTCTACAGTTTCTACATCTTTAGTAACCAAGACAAAATTACAAAATCTGTTTAAAACAATGGTAATGCTGGAAAGCAGAACTAGGCCCTAAGGCATACAGAGTAATTTAATTATAATAGAAACTGTAATTTATCATCTTTAGTGCTAAGTATCTTATTAAATGTGACCACACATTAGAAGATGTAACACCTACTTGAAAAAAAATTCTGAAAAAGTCTTATCTCCTAGTCTATTTTCTGCTATGCTGTCATAGGAATAATTCTAAATATAACTTATTTTAGTCTACTACTGAGAATGTAAGCATCAATATAAGATCATAAATCAAATTAAATGCCAAAAAGAGGTGTGTCAAGCTCAACAAATAAATGTGGGTAAGTAATATACTTACAGAAAATCACATACAAATTTTTAAATACACTTTGTAAACAGCAGTGATAATGATGGCAACAGTCTGCAGTACGATGGTGCTGAGGGTCTGCAGTGATAATGATGCACCAGAACAAATGTCCCACCCTGATGAGGGATGTTGCTTACAGAGGGGGCTGTGTGGGTGAGGGGCAATGAGTGTCTCCACCTTCCTCTCCATCTTCTATGACCCTAAAAGTGCTCTATAAAATAAAGTACATGTGTGCATGTGTGTGTGTGTGTGTTTAACCCAGCATTTGAACTCAGGACCTCTGGCTTGTCAGGCAGGTGGTGCACCACTAAGCTACATCCTAGCTCTAAAATAAGGCATTTTAAAAAGTAAACAAATAAATGAAATAAATTCAAGGAGAAAAGAGAATTTTTTTATAGAATGTCAGACTGCAAAGGATACTTAGAAGCCATCTGCCAGCAGCTCTCCGAGTGGGATGATACCTCCCCCTAGAAAAAACTTGGGAATAGACGGTTGTTTCTCATGCTACCAGCACTAGAGACTCTAAGCACACTATAGTGCAGCACAGACTTCTTCACAGCAAAGAATTATCCAGCCTACATGCTCAAAACCTGCCCACTGACATAGTGACTTAATTATCCACAGGGAAGATTTAGTCAGAGATATTAAGTAACTAAAGCAGTGATCCATGACTAGATCTTAATCCCATGTTCTAATTCCTAATTAGGTCCCTTAATAAATTTAGGAAAAAAAACCCTGTATAACCAAAAACCAATCATCTGTGAATATAAAACACTGTCAGAATTAGTCAGGCATTAGTGCCACCTAAACACTGATGAAGAAGCATAGTATATATGAATTCAAACACATATACACATACACACTACAAATATAACTAAAGCCAACATTTCAAAAGATGAACACTGATAGGTAAACCCTACTGTTAGTTTAGTTACCACTCAGCAGCACTGTACCTCCCAGTACACTGTTTGCCACTATCTGTATAGTAAGTATAATTTTTATCATATATCATCCCAAAAGTGAGAGCTAAGTTCTTCAGAATAATTCAAAATTAAAACTATTCTTCAAAAGATATCAGCATGCACTGTCTATGCCTATGAGTTTTAAAATTTTTAATTTTAGAAACACATTAGAACTGGTACAGTAGATTATACTGTAGGATTTCTGCAATGTGCTACCAAGCTAATACACATATGTATCTTACATATGTTTGTATGTGTACACACACTATGCCTCCATATTTCTCTGAAGTTCTAGAATTTGCCCTTGATACCAAAACATTTGAAGAGAATACATTTCATTTTGTTCTGCCCTCATCAGTCTTCCAAAAATGGATTACTGAATCACTGGAGTGATTAAGTCTTTTTGATACAAAATTTCTACTGGCTCACAAAAACATAAAGTATTTCAGATTCATTTTCAAACACCATCTTACGCTTCTTAGACAAAATATATAAAAAGTAATAAAAATAATAAAAGGACAAAATTAATCTCTCTCTCACCCTTGGTGTGTATCTTTTATACATAGATACATGCATATATACAAACATGAACACACACAAATTCTATCACTACCACAGCATGTAACTTAAATTAGGTTATCAAACTGTATGTTGGCTGAATCTAAAAAACTTACATTAATGGCCTTGAACTTACAAAAAGTTTCAAACTATTCAAGAATATATTTTTTAAAAATACTGAATGTAGGTTGGGATATAATTCAGTAACAGAACACTCTATGAGGTCCTATGTTAGATCCCCTAAAGAAACCAAAACTTGAATGTTCCCCGAAGTTCCATTAATTAAAAAAGTTATCTTTAGAATATTCTGAGATTTCTGTACACAGTTCTTTTCTCCAACTCACTTATCCTAAAGAAATTCATAGCCCTTGTTACTTACATTTCATTTGCTATGCTTATTTCAGTAACTTTTAAAATACATTAAACATAATTAAGTAAAAATGATTTCATCTTTTCAGCTCCATAATTTAATCATTCAGTTAGTAAACCATGCATTATTCAGTCATAGCCACAAAGGCCTGGGTTAGACAACAGAAATAAATATTTGACTGACAGTCTAAAATACTATTGCAAAAAACTTCCAAAGCATTCTGTTTCAAACAAGCAAGACGTACTGTCAAACAGACACTTTGCTACTTGCAATAAACATCCGACAAACACCTCCACAAGATTGTACTGTACCAAAACTATCAGGGCTCTCTGCTGATATCTCCTTTGCACGCTTCACAATGACAATCTCAGGTTTTGGATATCTGCATGCTAAAAATATTGTAAATTCAAAATGTATTCAAACAATGAAGTCATTACAATAAATATAAACAAAGGGATACGCATGCACTTCTGAAGTACCACATGCTAGTCCAAAGGCAGTCCTTGTTTTGCACAATACCATACAGGTCAGCAAAGCTGGCGATACACGCTTACACTGATAAAATGGTCTTAACACCCAGTAGGGGTGGAGTGTAACTCAGTGACAGAATACTCGCCCAGCACATGTGAGGTCCCAGGTTTGATCCCTAGCACAGAAAACAACAGGAAAATTTTAAATTGTTCTGTGACCTTCAGGAACAATTGAAGGTCTTTGTCAAAACAGTAAAAAATCTTACTGACAAGCATAAATGTAAAGAGAAATTTAAAAATAGTAAGACTAAAGTTAATTTAGCACACTAACTTGAAACAAAAACACTAACAATTAAAATGTTTTATCTCCTTTAGACAGCGCTAGTCCTCTTCATAGAGCGTCTCATCCTATAACTTCTAATCATACGGAGCAAGCACAATTCCCCTATGCTGGTGAACTGTCAGCATCCTTTCCAAGCCTAGACTACCACAGGGTATTTTATCCTCTACATGTTCAATGCCATGAAATTATCTCTGAGACTTCCTTTACTAAAGTGAACTTTTCACTAGGATCACTTCCTGCAGAATACCACCGTCTCATCACAGCCTCTTCACTTTCCTCATTTACATCAATAAGTTTGTCTCCCTGAACTCTCCTGGCATCTCAGATGGCAGCAGTTCGGTGCCAGTGTTGACATTCCCAGCCGTTTCTTCTGTACTCCGCTGGAATGGAATGGAATTTCATTATGGCATTATCAGTGCTGTGGTTTAGACAAAGTTCAAGCATGTTCCCGACAGCTCATGCATGGAAAGTTAATTCCCACTGTGAGGTATTAAGAGCGTGAAAACTTGATTACCTATGTGGTTTACAAGTGGGGCTTTTTGGAAATGATTAGAATTAGAGTCATCAGGCTGAAGCTGCCATAACATTACCAGCAGTTCAGAAGAAGAGAGATCGAATTAGAGAGAATCATACACCCGTGCCCCATCTCTGGCCATGGGATGCCCTGCACATCAAGACTCTGCTAGTAAGACAGCCATCACCACATGCAGGCCTTTGAGCCTCTACAGCTATAAGCTAAACGAATCTTTTTTTTTTTAACAGTTATTAGCCTCAAGTATTTTGCTATAATAAGGGAAAACCAACTAATACAATTATGCCTTACACTGCTGCTTTTTAGTCAATTTCCTTTTCAGTCTTTTCCTTGCTTTAGACTATATTGCCCAGGCTGGCCCAGAATTCCTGGATTCAAGAAATCCTCCTGCTCTCCCTGAGCAGCTGAGTATAGGGGCACCCTGCTCCTGGGTCAGGTCTTCAATTCCCTTTGGAGTACACATTTTTGTAAAATGCTATGTGGCTTTATCCCTAGGGAACATAATAAACAACGAAACATAAGCGTGTTTTTCTATCTGTAAGTATAATAAATAATAATCTCATGATCATCTGTTTTTACATAATGATTTGTGAACTGAGGAGACAGCAGCAAAGTTTACAATAAAGTTTGTACTTCATCCAATTATTTGAAGTTAAAGGAATGAGATAAATAAAATTTGAATTGTGTTGTTGGATATAGATGTTATTTAAGAGTTACTGAAATTCAAGCAAAACAGGATTCTAATTATAAAAAATGATTTAATAAAATGTCATAAATCCAGAAAAATATATCATTAGAATCTAATGTGTTTTCTATATATACAAATTAATTAAAAATAAAAGGGAAGAATATTCTTTTTCTCAAAAGTATTTCCCATTTAAATTACTTGAATTTACTATCATTTAACTATCAGCTGCAGATTTACTAATCTATAAGAAAATGGTTCAATTACTAAATCTTAAGTTCCAAAGTAAAGGAACTTTCTCACAAATCAACTAGCAATTTTTTTAAAAAAAAAAATCTGTCCTTGCATTATTACTAAAGGAAAAAACTTCCAGAAAGACTGGCATGGTGGCACATGCCTGTAATCCCAGCACTGCGGAGGCTAAGGCAGGAAGACTGCCACAAGTTCAAGGCCAGCCTAGGCTACATAATGCATTCAAGGCCAGCTTGAACTGCATAGTGAGACCCTGTCTCCAGAAAAGCACAAACAAACAAACAAAAACCTTGCAGAAAATAATTCCACAAAAGTTACAGAGTTGGAGTTGGTATATGGGTGAATATGAGATAATAATAATAAGTTATAACATAAATTTTCAAAGGGAAGAAATCATGTGCGTAAAAAGAGACAGCCTCCAGAAGAGTAAAGCTCTAAGGTGCTGAACTTAATTAAGGCTTTACAGATTTGAGTACGTGGTTGAAGAGAAGGAGGTAACTCTCTGCTTCCCACAACATTTCACTCTAAAAGCCACGAGGTGGGACTAAAGCAGGCACGTGTGCAGGAGACAGCCAGACAGCAGCGTACAGCAGAGTCTCAGAGCTCAAGCAGGATGACGCTACCCACGCATGGGGTCAGTCTGACAGAAGATGTCAGATGCAACTGGGGTGAGAGGGGCTTCTGCATGGTAGCAGGAAGGGCTTCTGTGGCACAGGGTGTCCGTGCCTGAGCTGAAGTGAGAAGGATATGGGTATGAGGAAAAGGTCGGCCCTGGTGATGATGGGATACTGATGACACCCTGCTGCAGTGGTCAACATAACAAACACGCCAAGAGTAACAAGGGCCAGGTACTGCTCTGCTAGGTAATGCCTAGAAATACCAGAAAGTAAGAAAACAGGAATGTGCTTTGTGGTATTGGATTAGCGTTAGAGAACTTGTTACGAACTCTTATTTATACTACAAAAACAGATACAGAAACAGAAATGACATATATTACATATAAATACAGTCTTTTGTTCACTAGCTTTGTCTACTGTGAGGGTCTGGAAATAGCCACCTTCTAACAGCAAAGAACATATTTACTACCAGAGGGTGGTTTCTAAATAACACTGCGCACTGAAAGAAACCAGGGATCCTTAGAAAAATGGTTGATTCTAGAGCTAGAGTGGGAAAAGTACAGGACAAGGCTGTTACATTGAGTGCAGTGGCTACCCTGAGGAATTACTCCACATGGAAGGAAGTTAAAGATGCATAACCACTAAATAACAATGCGTGATTCAGGTCCGGATCTTTCAGCTCTTAAGGAGTATGGAGGATGAATGAGATGAAACTTGGTACTACATTACTTTTATACTGTGGCCTCCAGAGCAATGCTCCCTTAGCAGAAAATGCACACCGCAGCACTCCAGGTACGGTAAACACTGGATGCACGTCCAGTCCTTAGCTGTTCCAAGTCCTGCTAACAGAGCTCTCCACAGCCATCCTTAGGGACTGCCCAGCTGAAGAATGCTGCTTCCTCCAAGGCCCTGCACCCTGCCAGGGTCATCTACATCCAACAGCTCACTTTGACAGCAGTGGAGGCCCACCCAGTTCTTGCAAGCAACTCAGAGCAGTATGAAACGGTTATCCCAACTCCAGAGCTCCTCACAGGGCTCACCACTTTACATCGACCTCTGCCCAAACCTGCTTCCTTCCCTTCCCTTTGTAAGGTGAGGACTCCAACAGTACACACAGTAAACTGCCTACAAGTTAATCCCTAAGAAACTACCACCCAAGGAAATAAACCGGGGGCAGGGATGACAGGGCACCTTGCCAGAACCTCATTTTCTAATGATTTAAGAAGCAGAAACAAAGGCTTTTGTACTGTATTTGAATTTTTTTTTTAATTGGAGAGTGCTTCAAAATTTCAGAAGTAATTTTAAAGGTAATAAAGGTACAGGAGGAGAATAACACAAAAAAGAAAAACTATGTCTGACTGGGCACACAGCTCACTGAAGAAGTAAGACTTCATCTGACAGTATTATCCCAAATCATAATGGTAAATAAAAGATGAAGAAAAATGTACAGTCACACATCACTTTGTAATAGCGATGTATCTGAGAAAAACACGATTAGGTGATTTTGTTGTTCAAACGTAGAATAAATATACTTAAACTAAGGATTCTGATGTCACTAGGTAATGTGCAATGCAAGGACTGTTTGCATCTGTGAATGTTCACAACTTGAATGTTCATAAGTTGGGGACCTGCTTTATAATCTTACGAGGCCACAATGAAATAGCCTGTCACTTCCAAGGCCTGAGGGACCCAAAGGTCCACTGTAATGATCCCCAGGGTGAAGCTGTGGGGAGGTCCTTTGGTCAGTCCCCTTATATGATTGTGTGTGTGTGTGTGTGTGTGTGTGTGTGTGTGGGCGCACACACACACATGCGTGCCATCTGATATATGGGTCTTCCACATATACTCATTTCCACCACAACACAACACTCAGCCTGCTGTGCACCACCTCCACTGGTGTTAGTAAGTACGGTTCCTGGCTCACTGTAATGGATCACTGGTATGTTACATCACCTACAGTGATACCACTCTAAATAACTGAGTGTGTTATAATCCTGTCTGTCTTCTTCCTCCACCCCTCAGGTGCCCTCAGAAGAATAAGTAAAGTCTGATCACACTAAGTACCCTGTGCTTGTTTCCTCTTCCTGCTTACTCTTTCTGGTTATTTGACGAGATTTAAGAATACACTCTCTGCTATGCCTGTGTAAGGGATGGAGGAACATACAAGGTCAAAAGGACTCTGAGGCAGCTTCTAAGGGCTCTCAACTTACGCAAGCACCAGTATGGGGAATAGCATTTTCTAAGCCCCAACAATGCACAAATAGTGGTCACTGAATTATCTTGGGCACACCACAAAATCAAAGACAGATTATTGTGTTGGTCTCCTGACTGCTCTATAAAATTGAATAAAGTTAAATTTCCTGTTCCAAAGGTTTCAACTGAAATGTCATGTGAATAAACAAAAGGAGAATTTCCTATAACAAATACGCTGGTTACTTACAGTGCAGGAACAATTGTGTCAGATCTTGTAAGTGATCGTATGTTATGGCT